CTCACGCCCCTCCTCCTGCTTCACTTTCACTGCTTTGGGAGTGCTTGGAGAGCTGCTGAGGGAAGGGAAAGAGGAATTATTCACAGGTAATCACTTTTACTTTGGCAACCAGTTTTAACGACTCAAGTAATTCAAATGGTGCTCTCAAGATGCGATAACAAAGCAAGCAGAGAACTCAAAGCAACAAACCTGCAATGCAACAGATGTCGTGGAATGAATGTCTGCTGCTGTATATGTTCTTTTAGATTTATCAACAATGACATAATGTTAATTTTTGATTCTGACATAAATCATTAGTTGTAGAGCCATGCTGGAAGCCTTCTGCTCTCCTAGACTTGCCAGATTGCATTGCCTTTGCTGACTGAAGGCTACAAAAACATCCAAATGCAAAAATTATGGACACCTGCTGAATTCTGAAATACCACAACATCGTTACTTCTTGAAGTTACAGAATCCAATAAAGAAAACCTACGTTTTCAGACAAAAACAGAGATACTGACAAAGTGTTGGTTGATTCCCTTCACTAAGTATTCATTGCTAAGAACACTGTTTTGTTCTCATTAAACATACAGGTTCATATCCAGTTCTCTAATAAACAGTCTGCTCTAAGACTCAAGTTTCCCAGTATTAGAAAAAATGTGGTTACTCTGAGACTGTCCGCAGAGTAACCACATTTTTTGCAATATTGTAACGGCAAGTTAAGGAATTGGTGCCGTTTTCCCAAATATGGCTACCACACTCAGCTGGGCTCCAGCACAATAATACTGACCTACAAAAATGTTGTGTGAACTGTAGATCATGAAGAGAAAAATTAAATCAAAATACTTGCTTAGCTACATTCAAATCATCATTCTCCCTGTGGACATATTGGGGTTAATCTGCTATAAAGGCACTCCAAAACTTTGACTTATGAAAAGGCAGCACAACCCTGGAAAACGCAGAGCCTCGACTCTGCTGAGCGATACGAGGTGTGGCACGTGTGGAGAACGCAGCTAACAGAAAACACCAGAGCAAGCCGGCCTTCACTGAGGAAGGAGGCCTCAGGGTGCCACAGACAGCTCCACGACAGAAGCCTGTCACAGTCAATACAGCAAGTACACATGGCTGACCTAACTCTGCAAACGTGTAATAAGAAATGTTAAGCACCCATCAATGTACGTGCTAGGAAGGGAAAGAAAGATAAAACTGAAATGACAAAAAAACGATTTCCAAAGGCACTTGGCTGACTACTGGAAGCACCTGATCTGATGAACATGAATATTCGACAGTACGAGTGCTGCCAACTTGGAAATATAACAGAGTAAGTGAAACACACTGTAAATACTGAGGAGAGACGGGTGCCCGTGCTGATTATGTTTTCAATCACGTACACTGCACTGCACTGAATGCAAGAGTGGGGCCAACAGCAACTTTGAAAGCCACAGAATTGAGGGGCTGAGATGGGAGAAAATATTCATGAGTAAACGATATCCCTCACCTCCCCACAAAGGGGGGTTGGATGGAACCGGAAAAAAAACCTCTCTCAAGATTACAACAAAGCTCCTAAGTGGTAACTCAAACGTGGGAATAATGTTTTGTGGTCAGAAAAGACAAAATCGGACGTTTATGGTCTAAAGGCAAAGCACTACCTCTGACAAGAAGCTTGTATAGTGCATCACTCAGTCAGCACCCTCCCTGCTATCAAGCACGGTGGCGGCAGCATCATTATATCACAGTTCTGTTTCTCATCAGCAGGGACAGGGAAGATTGCCAAGACTGATGGGAACATACATGGAGCAAAGTCCAAATGACAAGTGACAAAGGTTTTGAAGACGAAAAACCTTTTTCCCTAAAACTGGGACAACAATTAAACTTTCAGCAGGACAATGAACCACGGCTACACTTTAGTAGCTTAAGAATAAGAAAGTGAACGTCCTTAATACGCCCAATCAAAGTCCTGACTCGAATCCTGATGAGAAACTGTGGAAAGATGCCATGAGAAGTGCTGTTCCTACGTGATCCCAAAGCAACCCGAGAGAGCCTTCACAAAATACTGCGTCCACAACTCTGATTATTTATGCAATTAACATGTTTTATCATTTTCTCTTAATTTTTTGTCGATATATGTTATGAGTTATCTGGCCCTTAGAAGTCTTCCGTTTGAACTTTTAATATTTTATTCAAAACTTGACTTTCTAAAAAATGTATACATAACTTTGTGATCTGTAAACAGGACACCATCAGGAGGGTCTGAATACTCCTGCAAGGCACTGTATTGTTAATCTCCAACTCTGCTACATCTGCCAGGAAGGGCTGGAAGTTACAGTCAGTTGTGAACAGCATTTGATGTGTTTTAGAGATTCTTGCTGTGTGTGTGTGTGTGTGGTTAAAACCACTGAAAAACTAGTTTTTGTCTTATATTCTAAAATAAATACAAGTCTTAAAACGTATTAATGCATTGGGGTGTAACTATGAGCCGCAACAAAACCTATGCTGTAAAGTGCAGTTGCTGACACAGATTAATAAATAAACAATTTCTGTCTATTGTGTACTCATTAAATACATAAATCTCGGAGACCGAGATTAAATTCGTGAATGTTTCCAGCCCAAAATGTTCCTACATGGATGCTGTAACAGGCATGATGCATTTCAAGGCACCAACACCTCCCCTTCTTGCACTACAGGAAGGCACAGGAGGCCAGACTGAGAGGAGTAGATGTTGAGATTGTCACTGTGGCATCATGGAGCTGTTCTGAATCATATGGTTATTATACATTAACATCAACACTGAAGAGTATCAAATCTGAAGAGCAGATTTTTGATTTTTGTTTCATACCCAATTTCCATTTAATTTTTTATTATATTTTGGACATTTAACACTAACTCTATCCCCTCTTTCACATGTATAATAAAAGAAAAAAAGAGGGGGGGAAAATAGAAAATAAACAGAAAATCAAAATGACAGATGAATCTTTATACAAATAAACTACAGAAGCACTTTTCTGACTGCGCCATGAAGCTACAATATCTTTCCCATTTTAATCTTTTTGAAAATATATGTTGCCGAATTCTAAATCTAAGAGTACTTTTCTCTGGAAGATATATTTCATTCATTGAGACCTTCCACATTTGAGCACTTGGTCTATCGGGCTTTTACCAGTGACTAGTGATGTTTCATGACTGCAATTCTGACAACAATGCACATGTATTTCTCTGCCTCTGGTGACAGCTCATCTAATGCTTGTGCCAAAAGGTCCAGGGATCAGTTTTAAGCTAAAAAAAAACTAAATAATTCCTCAAGAAACTTCCATGTACACTCATACCCTGGTATAAGGACGTTCGATATATACATTTTCGCTAATTCGAGCACAAGAAATTTGTATCTCGTAATTTCCGATTCGTAATTTGAAGTTTGAAAGTGACGGACTTTGGCCTAGAACCTCCTGCGAACATCGGAATTCAGCGCCAGGGAACAGCTGTCTGTTTTTGGACGGGGGGTGTGCATTGTGGTTAAGGAAGCCGTGAGGCAGCAGTGCTTTGTTTATGGTCACAGCAAAAGATTGTGGTCTCATTTTCAAAGTGTTTTTTTGTGTTTGTTTTGTAGTTGCTGTTCATTACGGGCTCTAACGAAAAGAAAAAAGTTTCTTTAGCATAATAGTCGACAACAGTATGCATATCGTTCTAGCCAATCGCTTGGATAGTGATCGATCACGAAAGAAGGAAAAGTGTAAATATGATATCAATTATTTTACAGCTATAGTTGGCTTATTTGAGTAGAACTGCGTTGTTCACTTAGCTTCGTATAATGGTCTGTATGGTATTATATATTTAGAGTGGCTTTGAGTGAATCAATCCTTGGTTCGGAACAGGGTGGAATTTTCCCAATGAGAAATAATGGAATTTTTATTTTCAATTTACGGTCTCCTGCCTTCCGAACAGATTTTCAGGAACAAATGAGTATATTTAATGACTTTGCATGATCAAAATGACAGTGTATAATTTGACAGGTGTTCACTGTAGTTATACTACAGTATTTGTCATATTTGACTTATAACTGGGGGTCCTAAAATAACAAATATGGACTTTCCATGCTTTATCTCTCCATGAAGAAGTGTTAAAGGTTTTATGCAGATTTAAACATCTATCCTTCTATTCTTCAATTGCTATGCAAGTGCAAGCTCCTTTTCCTTACTCCTCTCTTATATTCCTCCTTTATTTTCTAATATTCTGTAACCTTCTGATATAAAACGCCACAAGATGTTTCTACCTTGACTTTATATCATATTTTATTAATGGGTCTATACCTGTCATTATTCTCTGGCTCAAACTGTCTTTAAGATAACATCTAAACTGAGAGTTATGCAAACCAAATGTCTAGACCAAGTGTTAAAATGTTACAATGCCATATCACATTGTGTCAAAACTATAGAGTACTAGTAGGGACTCATTTGGAATACTGTGGAGAGTTTTGATCTCCACGTTTTAGAAAAGTTGCTGCTCAGGAAGTAGTCAAACCATCAGATTCCTTTGTGGCCAGGAATGTAGTTCTGCTCTGGAGGGCTAAAAACTAAGCTGTTTTAGTCTTGAACAGAAAAGATCACAAGATCTGATGGGCAAATACTGAAATTACCCAAAGGCACTGACAATGCCAGCCCAGTGACCTTCTTCAGTATCAACAGTGAAACATAAATCATAGGACACAACTGGAAACTATGCTGAAATGTACTCAAACTGGGAACAGGGGGCACTTCTTTATCTTTATCCAAGGGTTTGTGGGACTTTGGAAGAACCTAAAACCAGTCCAATAACATGGCTTTATTCAAGGAAAAGGAGGAAGGTACACTCATACAAACTACTACTATCACCTACCAAATGGGCAAGATGTCCTGAATGTCCTCATGTGATTTACAACTACCCTTAAAATCTTACTGAGAGATAACAAGTAACTTAACTTCCATCAAAATTAAACTTCGTTTAAAGGCAAACTTATTTTATTTTCTTTCTCTGCATAAAATACTTACCTTTATAGCTTTAATAGCTGACTTTGTTATCTGGGTCATTTTTGCTTTGGAGATAGGTGGCTTGTATTCGTTCAAAGTGTACAACTGAAAAAGAAAAAAAAATCAAATTGTAAAACAAATCTAAAGGCTTAATAATAACTTTTATTTATGAAGTGCATTTCCAAAGCCCAGCTTTCTTAAAATTGAAGCAAAAACTGTACACTATTGTAATGAATTAAGTTTCCATGACCAACATTCAGCACCTGCTACAACTTATAAAAGGCCCAGCTAATGGACAGGCTTTGACGGCGAGAACACAACATGCACAAACAGAACTGTAGGCACCACAAACACGGCAGTCTTCTCCTATTCTGTTTATTGCTGTAGAGCCTCCTTCATGGACATGACTTTCACTTTCATGACTTTCTTTTCCTATCTGTTTGTTAATCCATCTTCTACAGTGGAACTGCTCTTGTATTTGGAACTTTCCTTCCATGGTGCTGTGGATTTATGGGATTAAGGTGTTTGACAAACAAATATGTGACTGAAAAGGGCGATTTGAGTTTAAACAAAGACCTGTCTGAACTATTATCGCCCTACTCCCCACTTCGCAAGCTTCGCTCTTCCAACTCTGGTCTCCTAACTGTCCCCCAAGCCCGTCTACACTCTATAGGTGACAGGGCCTTCTCCTGTTATGCCCACAAGCTCTGGAAATCTCTCCCCAAGGATATCAGAGTCACCTTCTCTAAACTCCTTCAAATCCAGACTCAAATCCTTCTTCTTTAGAAGAGCCTATACTTAACTGGTTCCACTCTTTACCCCTCTGCTCCTACTATACTATACTGTCTCCTGTGTACTGTATGTGTTTTATCTTGTGTATTTATTTATTAAGGCGCTATGTAAGATGAAGTTTTTATTATTATGTTTTACCTATGGCATTAATCTCTACTTTGCAAACTTCTGGAATTTAAGTACCTTACTTTTAGAAATGCAACACTCTTATTTTATTAATAGGAAAATCATCTTTATAGCCCTCCATGAATATGGATATGTAAATCAGTAGTAGTTTTTCACTTTTTATTTGCCTAAATCACAGAAATCCTAACAACTAGATCCACAACAACCAAAACAGAACTTAATTTTAATATAAAAGGTTTCTGTTTGTGGTATAGTACCTTTATGTAGCCTGGGATCACAAAGCATACAATATTGAACGCTTCAAATTCTGCAATGCAAAAGATTTTTGTAGACACTGCACATTCTACAAACCGAGTAAATATTTTACTGAAATCCCAAATCATTGTTTAAAAGGGGGGCATCTTTTTTAAGATATGGAATTTATCTAAGCTTAAGTGCACGTGTGGATATTCAACTGGCAGTCCTTTCAATCCACTTCAGTACAGAACTCTGCTATAATACTAATACCAACCTGCTGAATTATCTAATGATTATTACAACCATTCAACAATTAAGATATGTGCAATAAAGATGAACAGCTCAAATCTCTGTAGAGGTTAGGTTGATCAAGGTTCTCACAATCTACTTGAGATTTTTCAAGATAAAATTCTTGGAAATTCCTTTTTTTACACAGAAATACATAAGATGTGCTGTTTTATACTACTGTATTTATAAATGTCTACTGATTTTTGTTTCAGTGCTTGTTTCGGAAAACTTGCTAATGTAGCCAACACACTTGCATATTTTTAGCTTAGCATCTGAAAGAAGAGAGCAGGGTGCTGGATGCTGATTACTGCATTGATTTTCTTTTAATGATGAGGTAGCAGATCTCAGGCGATAATGCATTTTACTAGCAAAGGTACCTGCCTCCTTCCACTGTTAAACTTTTATGCATTATTATCGCTGTCTTCCAGTTGTCTGAAATAAAGTTTCAGAAAGAAGACTTTGTAGCCATTGCAAAAAGTGTGAGTTTCCACCTGGCATGATGTCCCCTCAAACATTCTGTAATATCTCTGGAAGTTTATACAGTAGAATCCTGGTTTATGGCTTAATTTAAAGCTAAGCAAGTCACTATTATCAATGAAAGGGAAGGACTATTTAATTAACAGTTAGGACCACAAACTTACCATGTTTTTTAACTAAGATTGGGGTTACAATGTGAAGAAAAAAGGCATGTCTAAAGAGCCAAGGTGCCTTACTGAACCTTTGGTTTTTAAAGATCTTTAAAAATAAATACCAGAGTGTGTTATACGTGACAATTGCCAGTTTAATGGCAACTTCCTACCCAAATTAAAAATAAAACATATTAGCCTAGGAAACATATGATAAAATAAACAAAATAAACCTGGCTGCTTAAAAATGACGTTCTTTTTTGACTGGTACGGTATCTGTCCAACGCTCACAGGCCTACAACTTAAATATTTACTTCGTAAAGCCATGTTTTAAAATATTCTGATCAGCCTTGTACACGATCGTGTATTACAAGAAGCATTTCAGCTCCAATTAATGAATAATAGAAAAATAAACCATTATATAAACATTATATAATGATGTTTTCTCGCATTACTGGCTATTCTGTAGAGACTGTTTTTTTCCACTGGGCCCATCCGCCTGGTGCATTCGCTGCTTAAAGCTACAACGCACTCCCAGTGATAAAAACACATATATTTACACTCATAATTTAAATCTTAAAACGACTGTACTTCTCTGATAGTTGGTTTAAAATAGAGAACGGTGTTTACGTCTACCCTGAAGGTAATACTCCTAATACGGGTTCTTTCACGGGGTTCAGGGGATTGCCAGTTTCAATCTCGTTACGCGTTCAACTACAACCTGTTATTGAAACTAGCTACGCCATTCCATTAGTAATTTAAACTAATTCGCTGTTAATCAGATCGTTAGTCAGGTTAACACCATTGCAAACGTACCACAGCCTAAGCCTAGCCGGCATTTATGCGGTACCCGTTCTGCGAGACAATAAAGACGCTGCTATTACAGCCCTCTTTAAAACACGGGCAACTTCGCGTTTAAGACCTGTTTCCTCCTCTACAAAACTACCCTAATATTATAATTCGTTCTTAAAACGAGCGAAAGTAGGCGATACGCGCTTTCTGCGTTGACTTTGCCGTGCTGTTTATCTAGTGTTAGCTCTGCAGAGAAAAGAATGAGGCCCAGCGCCCACTGCCCCCGCTCCCTCCGGCAGAACAGCCAAGCTACGTGCCTCACGCATGAAATAAAACAAAAACTACACGACGGTTTGGTGGGGTCAGGTGCAAGATGAACATACAAACCTCGCCGTTAAACGCCTTAACTGCCTCCATGGTGCTGTACTTCGCGGTGCCGAGCTCGTTTCTTTCGGGGGCAGCGGCGTCGCTTTCACAGCCCCACTCGCTGCATGCTCCGGGTCGATCTGTGTGTGTGCGAGATGGAGGGGAGGCAGCCAATATGGCGGCTGCGCCTGAACACAAACACCGAGAGAGCAGCCAAGCGTCCGTGTTCGGGCATTGCAATCCGTCCGCCCGACGGCGACGACCAGTGTTTGGGTACTGCCGTTGCTTCAGTTCCTACCCCCACCTCTCTCACACAAACACACACCTCTTGAGGTAAAAAAAAAATGTTGCTCTGTGTAAAATTTTAAAACGAGTGTTGTGAGGTCCATTCTGTAAAATAATTAAACTTCAGGTTTTTAATTATCGCTTTCCTTTGCGATTTTAATTTTAGGCCCTCACACGCCTTTCTCTGTCAGCACACACAAACATAGTATGTTTTTGAGCGTAGATGTCACCCGCCTCTTGACTTAGTTTGACTTTTGTTAACTTTTGTGAAATCTTGCTTGTACTATGAACAAAGGAATGACTGTTGTGTTTTCTTGAATTCGGTGTCTTTTTTTTTTCTCGGTATCGCTTCCGAGATCACAGAAGCAGAGATTACTCCAATCAATATTTCTGCCCCTTTTCGTCTTTAATTTACAACATTTTATAATGTATGTTACACGTTTTTCTTTTATAATATTCTATTTAAGAAAACTTCTAACTGTAAGAATACACATTGTAATATAAGCAAGGTTATGTGTACATAGTGTTGGATTGTTCTATGTGATGTGTGAGTGACTATCTTCAGCATTTTCCTCATTTACTGGTACAGGAGACTTTGCTGTTGGATAAAACGCCCATTTTGCCTGACAGAAGATATCCATTATTTTATTGAGCAAAAAAAATAGACAGCGGGGTTACGACATTGTAGCCTAGTAACTTTAATTAGAAACTAATTAAAATTAAATCTTGTCAGTCTTGCGTGGTATCCTTTACCTGAGGAACAAGTAATAGGTTTACTCCATGCTGAAAAGAGAAGAAAGAAAACACAACGTTTCAGCCGTGGAGCCTTCTTCGGGTGTGAGCCTCCCACCTCGCACGCCCGAAACTTTGCGTTTTCTTTCTTCTCTTTTCAGCATGGAGTAAACCTATTACTTGTTCCTTTGCAGCCTACGCATGCTGACGCAGCTCCCCACCTGAACTACTTCATCCTTTAGTTGAGATGTCAAACTCAGATACTTCAGTTGACACCCAACACAATCTTACTACACAACCTTGTAGTTGAGGTTCACCGTCAAAATGTAAAAACTACAATTGTTGCTGTATTGGTAGATGATGTTGGTATCTTTTCTATGGAATACACGGGTATCTACGAGCCCCTAAACACTTTTAATCCTATTGAGCACCATTGCTGATTTACTTACAAGGTATCAAAAGAAATGTACTATTATTTATGAATGTTTTCATGAAACACATAGATTTTGGATACCGAAAATCCATGTGCTTCATGTCAACTCTTTAGCGACAGTCAATTGATTTCAATCTCATCACAGGTGACGAGATGATTTCACCTACTGAATGTTAAACCTGGTGAAAGTCAAGGTTATGAAGAGAACAACGTTTCTCTAACAACTTTATCCTGATGTAATTCAACAGCTAGTAGCAATGACAATTGAAGACACTGGTGCTTAAAGTCAATTTAGGGGGAAAAAAAATTAGTCACTCCCAAATCTGTTTGACTCATGATCACCATTGCCTGTTCATTTTGGGTTGTCATTTACTTTGGTAAAATCATCATCAAGCAGTTCAATCAAGACATGAACTCAAGAGCAACGAAACTTGATTTGTAATGAACAGTTGACCCATTCATTTTCAAAGCCAATTGTCAGAGTAGAGGGATGTCACCTGATCAAAAAAAAGTGCAGAAAACTGGAAGACCTATTCATTCCTAACAAATAGTACATAGTGTTTTCTCAAAAGATTACGGTGCTCTGGCCTTCAGTTTTAACAGTATATTCTTAATATCAATAGGCAAATTATGAATAAGTACACGCAGTATCACAGTGATTTTTTTTAACCGTAATATTTTATGGCAACTAAAATGCCATCTCATGTTGCCTTTGTAATGTTGACTTACCGCGAGGCTGACAAAACTAAAAGCAAGCACCTAGCACAATTCATTACCTCTCTCCAGCTGCAGGATACAATTTAGGTTTTGGATGTTGTGGTCCTACTGTAGTTTTTTTTTCATACCTGTGGGTTAAGAGGAGTTATTATTTTATGAGGTATGTTCCATTTTGAAAAAAAAGATGCCATGTCCCAATATCTTACCAAAATCACTTTAACGGATATGAACAAAGATATTAGACAATTGCATTTCTCTGTTTATTGTTTTAGCTGACATAAAAGCTCTATGTTTCAAACACGCGGTAGTAAAAGCATACTTACAGGGCAATAATAAAAGAAGTTTACATATTATCTTTACACTTGCATATGTACAAAGACATCTATGTATTTACAGTTTTAAAAATATTAAACTATTTCTTGCCATAAAATACTTTCATATAAAGGTGCCCCACCTTGCACCGTTCCCATAATTTCCCCTGACTTGTATTTGCAAAAACAAGAGATTGATTTCACATGCACATAGGAGTAACAGACAAATGTTCCAAAACACTGACTCAGCGATACAGAGCCCTGCTTTTGTAATTGTTGGCAATTCTCTCTGATATTCTCTGGCATTCAGTAGTGTTGACATTTGTGCTCGAGGGACTAGGAATCCAAATATTTTCAAGTATATTATCTAAGTAGTGCATCTGTTAAACTATATAGAATTTTATAATATAGCATAAAGGTGTTAAGAAACAATTTTCAGATCTCATAAAGAGGAACAATATCCACAACAACTTTATTTTAAAGATGACCTCTACCCACTAATCCCAGGCATGAGAAATACATACTGGCTGGAAGGGGAAGGGGTTGAGGTGAGGAATGCAAGACAGAACAAAACCTTTTAAAAGGGAGAAAGCCGAGATAAAAACCACAATTTGTATGATTTGTTTAAAACAAACAAACAAACAAACAAAGGCACGCATCAGGGTTAGTTTAGGTCAAAGTCAAGAAATTGTCCATTCCCAGCTTGTAGTCGTTTCCAATGTTTCTTCCCCCACTGCATCTCGCACATCAATAATTAAAAACAAAAGAAATAAGTCTGAGAAAGTCCACACCAAAATTAACTTACTAATAATGAAGCGTTCCTTTTTCTTTAGTATTTGGAATAAAAAAAAAAGGTTTCAGGGCTGGGTGGGTAACTTGCCGGAGCTCCGTTTCGGAAAGACAGCCCGCAGTTATTCTTTTCAACCAAAGAGGGCGCTGGTGAGAGGCTGCCGCATCCGAGCGATCTGTGTACGGACAGCAGCGTTTCCAGTAGGCGACCGGGTCAGACGTTCGTCTCCGTGCAGGGACGAGGCTGCTCAGGCGATGTAGTTTGTTCCTCTTTGCTATTCTGAAGAGGGCGGTGCTGGCAGATCTCCTGAAGCAACAATATGTTTGTTTCCCTCCATTTTCTGTACTTCTCCGCTGTCAGGCTGGGGTCTTGTAACAGTACCTCGATGGTAATCAGGTCTGCTTCTTTGGCCTGAGGTACACACAAGGAAATGAATGTTAAGGACACCAGTGTTTCCTTGCCTGCAGTATTAACGTTCCCGTTGCGAATCTGTCATAATGCCCAAAAAATAACCTTATCCTTAACTAACTTCATACTGTTTTCAACAAGCAAATACATCACATTTAAAGAAAAACGGGGGAAAAAATCCATATAAGGCAGTGTGCTGCAAATCACCGCTCTTTAATCTTGAGATGACAAGTATGGATCCTTTTAAAATATATTTTAAATTTTTTTTAGCAAAGACCATGCCATTTTATGATGAAAAAGGGTCGTTAGTGTTCAATATTAAAAAAAAAACTTTTATGAATCCAGTTCATTCTTTAAGAAAAGAAGTCTTAGGCTGCCATCTAGTGTCTGGCCTATATATCCTGCAATAGGTTTCAAATCAAAGGCCGTATCATTGATGTTTAGGGCTCCAACTGTGTAAGGAGTTTTTACAGCTAGTTCCAGCTAACGACAAGAATCTGCTAAAAAAAAATTGAGGTGTGCCATGCAGATACAGGAAACTGGCAATTCATTTGAACAGTTTAAAAGGGCGTTTTTCACTTTTTAAGCAGAAGCTGCAGTACATGGAGTAATGCTGTAGAACACGCCATCCCAGATTTAACCTCAGGTGCTGGTTTCTAGCCGTTCTTTCTTCCTATTAGTGAAATCAGGTGAGGGCAAAAAAAAAATGGCTCCGCCTTAAGATAATAACCAAATTTGTGAACAAAGAGCGATAATCTGTCACTTAAGTTTTAGAGCTACCGTTCTGAATTACAGACACGGCCGTGTTTCTATGGTCAGCCGAGATGCGTATAAGATCCACCCGTGGTCTAACAGCCCGAGCCGCTACAATCGATCTCCTCTTCCCCCCAGCCCTGAGAGTTTGCCAGCGGGGGACCTACCTTCAGAGTGCTGTTCAGGCTCCTGACGTGATGCAGTTTCTCATTGACATCCTGATTTCTGGAACGCTTGATGAATGATTTCCGAAAGTCCTTTTTGGTCGACGGTTTGCGCTCTCCGATTGGAGACAGGCTGGCCTGTTTCAGGTGGATGTACAACTTTTCCATTTCATCTGAAGTGCTCTCCCGGCTTTCTGTGGCAAAATAAGAACGCTTGAAGGCCTGGGTGCAGTTACCGCAATAATAGACGTGGGCTGCATGAGTCTTATTTTTGGAAATGCGTTGTCATGTGTCTCGGTGAGAACGGCAAGAGACACGATACGCGATTTCAGTACGATTTGGTAGCAAAATAGCTCTCTACTCTATGTCAATTCGTAAAGATTTCATTTTTACGCTGTATTGATTGAGAATAAAGCCCAGCTAAACAAAACTTCTCAAACAATTTTTAAAATGGAAATATAACTATGACTCAAACTGCATCACCACCATAACCTTCATACCAGCCTAGTCAAGAAGACAGATGTAGCCGTGAGACCCGGTTTCTTTCAGGAAACAGCTGGATGAGATTCTTGGATCAACTAATGTCTAATGACTGAACAGGATAGATGGGCCAAAAGTCTCCTGCATTGGGTACCAGTCTTATGTTCTACTGGGTGTACACAGGCAAGCTGCCCTCTTCTTGTTCCATCTCTGAATGCAACCTTTCTACTTTCAGAGTGGAAATACCCTTTATTTGTTCCTTTGCAACACAGACCCCCCTCAAACTTACTGTTTCTTCAATCTATCACGGCAGATTTGTACAAAAGTAAACTTAAAGGCCATTAAAAGTACTTTCTGGTAAGTCATTTCAGTACACAACCTGACAAGTCCTAAAGAACTCAAAATGACGATTTAACAGACCAACACTGTTCTGAACGACTGGCATCCATTCAATGACGCCGTAGAAGCTTTATTGAAAGCCGTAAACAAAACCCTGAGTAACCACAGACAGTATTTTGTCTTTGATTCCTCCTGACAGATCTGCAATATTTACGCATCTCGAACTCTGTGCATGTATGTGGTCAACTCTGTCGAATACAGAAGCATACACGATCTCTTTAAAAGCTCCTTTATGGGTTGCATTTCTGATGAGCACAATCTGACCTTAAGCAACAAATGACAACAGGAAGTGTGGTCTCTCTCAACTTCCCCTCCCTGTATTGTGCACTTCTATTAATAGAAAAAATGTTGCACAATTTTTTTTTAAATATACTGGCAAGTAATGTTAAAAATGCTAACCCAAAACATCCTACTTTGCATTCTCTGGAGGGAGAAAACATTTCATTTTCTGCACAATAGTAACCACATGTCGAGAAAAACCTCAGAGATTTCTGAATCTAGATTCGTATACCTCAACAATAAATCTCTTTCCAAGCTCTTCTCCTCACCACTTCTTGGGAATAGTGGTGGACATTACATTTTTTGGGTCCAAAAAGGTCAATTTAATAAACCAGAGTATCTATCCCATTTTGGCACAGTTGTAACAATGATGCTGTATTCACGTTGTAAGAAAAAAAATCCATTATTTCTTCAGTACATTTTTCAATGTGTAAAAAAACTGAAAGAATTGCACTATGGCTCTGCAGCATTAATCACTCCTGCTCCAAAGTACTTGAAATGGCTAAAATAAACATCCTATACAATAGCATAATTGAGCAACAAACTAATTATACATGTTCAGATATTGTATATCATTCGGTAATCTCAGGTCTCAAAAACAGCACATTTTTTGGGATTTTCGGCATTCCTTAAAGTCTCCAGAAAACAAAAAGAATAATTTATTATGGAATTCACTTGGCAAGGCTTGAACTTTGCAAGATGCAAAGCTTTTGCTTTGCTTTGACCCATCATGTCACTGGTGTAAGTAAAATCCCACTCAAACTGTTTTTTATACATTTTCGCATTTGGAATATCTGCTTTCACTCTTGGGTATCATCCTGACCTACACAGTTATCCTCCACCTTTTTCCCTTTTATTTCCTCACAAAAACTCATTGCAGTTTGTAGAACATCCAGGATGATGTTTTCAGTTTGCCATTACTGTGAAATTACTAAGGCAGAAAAAATAAAAACTGGGAAGAAAGCAATACAAAATCTTTAGTTTGCTGCTGGAGAGCACCGTGTAGGAATGGTTCTGGATTGCTCAGCTTTTTTTAGAATCTGCTCCTGTGTTAGGATTTTGTCAACAGAAAAAATCCTCAATTTGTGCTCAGAGTTTAACACTGCAAATGGATCTGACTTCATTGCAGCTACGCATTTTTTTCCCCAAGTACAATTCCGATCTTGAAATGAACAGCTCAAAGATATTTCCAATATTTTAAAGTTCTGTGTTCTTCATTAAAGGCAGCAGCTCTTCTGAAGAGAAATATCCCTGCTACTCCACTTCTTTGTGGAAAATGAGAGCCATTCTATGTCAGGAGACAACACAATAGAATAAAGTAACAAAGAAACTTCAAAAACAACAGAAGAAGCAGAAACTGATTAAACGGGAAACAGTGCAGTATGTAACCCGCAGTTGCAAAGTAACATTTAAGGTAGCTGTTGCTAAAAAGGCAAATCTGAGAAAAGATCCCGAGTAAGATGGCAGCTTTCTGCTTACCATCCTCAGTCGGTCTGGACGACGGAGATGCCATGTCGCTGGTTTTCCGATCTCCACAGATTACTACAGCAGGAAGCTCCACGCGCGACTGAGGGTCCGGGGACTCACCGTCTAACGAGCTCCCCGTCTCCTCCTCGCTGCAGGCGGGGGGCGGGTGCTCCGAGTGAATCTGCGCAGAGCAGGTCAAAGACACCGGAGCCTCGGAAACAGGGCTGGGGACCACCTCCCGGTGGGACTGGGCGTCTCTGACTGCGAGCTTGGACAGGGAGGCAGCAGACCTCTGTGATGCCATGGTGCTGGCCGGAGAAGAGAGAGAGCCGGTGGCCTCGCTGGGAGGATTTGAGGAATAGGGAGGAGGGAGGGTCTCCTAATCAATGAACCACAGAAAGCAGCAGATTTTGTTTAATGCCTTGCAATTGTTTATACATTGTGCACACTGTACCATCTATTGCAGGTCCTGACATCAAAACAAAGGGAATCCACAATCTAAATTACTATTGTTCTTTTTCTGCAGACACACAATCCAGCAGCTATGGTCTTGCTACATTCACTGGTCAACATCTGAATCTGGCTACCCGATCCTTACTTTGTCGAATCACAAAAATGCTATTAAAAAACAGAACTAGAGAAAAACCAAGTGATTACTACTCAGAGAAGTATTAAATTTAACCCAATAATAAGGGAGACCTCTCTAGAGATTATTTAGTTTAGAAAAAACATTTTGTATTAAAAACAGACTAACTGTATTAACAGGAAAGACAAACCAGGTTTCAGAGAATTGGCAATACAGTGGTTTGAGTTTTGATATGACGGTAGCATTCAAATGCAAATGCAATTACAAATAACTCCTTAAATGACAGAATGAATAAATGTCAGTACTTAAGAAACAGGATTCCTCCAGCAAAGAATATGAGCAAAGCACAGAAAAACATTTAAAGGAATGTGGAGCCCGGTTCAGTAATGTAATTGGATTCATGTCCGACAAAGCAGATTAAGTAAAGGCTAGGATTAATCGCATTCCATTGTCAAACTCAGTTCATTCTGCTTGCAATTCACACATTAATGCTTGCTAATGCTTGCTAAGTAGTGAAAGGTGCACGATTTCAAAGATCAACTGATCAATCCAAAGTTAAGTGAGAGGGACTCTTGGACATACAGCAGCAAAGATGCATAGTTAATGAATAAATGAATGAAGTTGGTAACAAGCTTGCAAAAGAGCTGAATAAACAATTTCAAAGGCATTTTCCCTCACTCAAGGCAATGTCTCAGGGACAGAGCAGGACAGACCAATACCAATTTAAGGAACTAAACAAAGATAGAAAAGGCCGTCATTTAAGATTAAAATAGTTATTTTAGATTTTCCATTTTTGAAAGAAACAAGTGATTTGAAGACTTCGTAAGCTATTAAGCCAGTGTTGGATATAGTTCTCTAGATCACCTAACAAGCTACTGAAGGGGCAAACACACTCACTGAATCGGGTGTGATGTGCGCTGAATAGGGAGGGGGTGGCATCTCTGTGATCTCCGCTTCTTCATGATCACTTTCTTCACTCCAACACTCTGAATTCACAGAAACACAGATCAAGCCAAGCTCTAGCCCATCAAAGGACATTTTATTCCATGTAGATCCAGTACCATTATTAAAATAATGTCATTATTAAATCTGTTTTCTGACTTATGAAGATGAGTGCAATACACAGTTTAGAGAAATCAAAATACAGAAACATTGCGTTTTCCAAGCGTACTCTATGTAATAAATTCATCCTTCCGCCTTTTACAAGGTGGATAAAAAAGGACCTACAGTACAGATGTGAAATTAGATTTTGTGTGATATCAAAAACATAACTTACCTCCATTATTTTTTTCTAATGGCTCATAGTGGATTGCAGCCAGGCCTAGTTTATTCAACCACCTGGAATTAAAAAAAAGTAGTTTGTCACCAAACTACACAAGACTTGAAAACGTCTTCACATTCAATCTTAACAACGTGTTCAACGTGTAATATTCACACACTTCAGTGAAAATTATGTTTCTCTACAGGTTTAACTAAGAAAAGGCACAATAATACTACAGCAGACTCCTTTGCCACTCTAAAGAAAAGAAAGAACTCTGTTACTAATGATAATTCCTTAAGTTCATACAGCACTTTTTATTCCTTAGGTTCCCACTTCACACAAGTGAAGCGATCCTTTGGTAGCCACCCCTGACACATGGCAACATGGCAGCAGGCTCCGGTGGAGAGGGAAGAAACTGCTTCATCAGTTTTATTAATGGGGATTTTAGGAAGGCCATCATGTACAAGCCCAGAATGGAATCTAGCCACGACACCAGGTCTAATATCCCTACAGTTTTGAAAAGTGCCGTGGGATCTCAAAGGACCAAGCAGGTGGGACCTCTGTTGAGCATCTCATCTGAAAAATGGCACCTCCTACAGTAGTGTCCATGGTCACCGTGCTGCAGCACTAGTTTGGAAATCCAGCCCCGGACAGAAGAGTGCCTCCTGCTGGTCCAACAGCGCCTCTTGCTCTTGCTGCTGCAACCTGGCTCTCCTTGAAAGTCTCTAAATCACAGTGCTGACAACAACTCGCGTTGCTCGATTTCTGAGATTTGACGAGATCAGGCTACAGAGAGGTAACCTCCCCCCCTTTATTGAAACAATTAAGCTTTCCCATTCAAGTCTGAATCCGTTTTAGACCAGCCCAATGAAATCACTGCTTTAATAAGGTTTATACACACTTTGTGGGAAGCACACTGCTTCTTGGGTATCGAATGACTGCTTTTAATGTGGTTCTAATTTCATACAGCACTATTGCTGGACAGTTCCATGAGCTAAGGTAGAGCTTATTTAAAGCACATTTCTCAATAAGCATTAAAATACCTTTTTGCAACGTATTCCCTAACTATATTTGACCATTTTGATAATTTAGTAAGCTATTCAAAACAAAATAAATCCATTGCTGCGATACCACTTAAGTATATTAGTCCAAAATGCAAAGCAAGTCCATGTCATACTAACATTAAAAAAAAGCATAAAGTAATCGTGATAGTTTATAATAATCAAAAATACATGGAACTCAAAAATCTGTTTTGGACTCAAACGTGAAGAAGCCCTTGACTTCAGGGAAAGCCAATTTCTTGTCTGTATTGTATAGAGTTTACTGACTTACATCAATGTTAATTGATTAGGAAGATGGAAGATCATTGACATAAGAGGCAAACATCATTTGATAGGTCTCACAACAATTAAATAACTGAACCAGCATGAAAAAATCCCTGTCATGGTTCATTCGATTTACAACAGTAAAATCAATAATTAACTGCCACCATATTGTTAGCAGAGCTCCAAAGATGCCAGCAAATCTGGTTTTGTTGGAACACTAACAAAAAACAAGCTGCAATATGGTTTTTAAAAAATCATTATTTTCCTGTACAACTAAAATATATCCAATTTAGTTACCCATCAGTCTTTCGGTGTCTGAATGCAAGTTTCACTTACATTTTTAAAACTGACATCTGAATTTTCTAATGATTACAACATGAACAATAGACACAATTATAAGGCATTCTGTTTTGTGCACTACTGTCTCGGTCTGCTAGGGAAAAATGTAGATCAACCTTTTCAAGTGGTCAGATGAATTAAAGGTGAATATGAAAAAAATCCTACCGCACAATGAAAGCGCAACAGTCTTAGTTTGACATCAAGAGCTCGTTGCATAAATGCATCATGTTATTTACATTTTAAATAGTGAGCATACTGGTTTGTGGATTGAGTAGAAATATTTTGCAGGGTAAAAACAGCACTGACCTCAAGACGTGCGATTTCATAAATATGACAAATTCTTAGTGTTCAGGGTTTGAATCATGCAAATGCAAAATTGCCACAGTAAATTGTTTAATATCTTTGTAAACGGACCAAAAAGACACAAATTTTAATTAACACAAAAATTTCAAAAAATATAACCATTCATGCCTGAGCAATGAAAATCACCTAGTTGCTACCAGTATGAGTGAAGGCAGTTTATGTGGAAAGGAAGTTGCCCAGAAAATAAAATGAGTGTTTTACCTCTACAAACAGCTATTTAAGAGAAACCTGTCCTGAAGTGGCCATATCCTGGAAGACAGGACTGAACTATCATATATCTGTCTAATCCATCTGCTCTGTCATTTTCTGACTTGGAAGAGGCTATAGTGCAACAGATACTAGGATGAAATATTCCACACTTCAGCAGAGTCACTTTAGCTCGCCATCTCCATAAAATGATCTGCATTACTATGAGGCTATTCTGGGATAACACGGCCATTTTCTGTAGGCCAGAGTACATCTACTGTGGCGCCAGAAAGAGATGAGACGTGGATATATTCACAGAAGAATATTGTTATGGCCTTGTCAGACCTGACAGAAGACAACATCTGCAGATATTGTAATGTCGTGTTGTCTGTTAGACGGTGAAAATCAACTGGTGGGAATGAGGTGGGAAGGAGCCTTGTTCAACAATAAATTGACAATGTCCTTAGCAGCTTTCCCACTCCTGCAAAGCCTATCCAGAAGTGTCCATATTTCCCCAACAGGACAATGCAAGACCACACAGTGCATTAAAATGGCATAACTTCAAGGGCTTGGTGTGGCCTAATTTTTCTCTTGATCTGTCTCACAGGACATCTTCAAAAACAAAGTCCTCAACACCATCGACAGGAAACAGCCCTTAGCAGCTGGCTGTAGGCTACTAAACGAGTGGGAGAAGTCGATCACTCCAGAAGTCTCTCCAGAGGATGATTAGGTCTTGGCATCAAGTCGGCCAAGATCTGCTTTGGGACAGTATCACCGTTACTAGCTATAATGTTTTCATTTCGACGGTGCGTAACATTTCATATTGGAAACCAATGCCAATTATTGGCCTGTATTTTTATTATCGATATCTGCAATGAGATCTGTTTCAGATATTTGATTAATTAGAAATGGTGCATTTCCTATGGCAACATTTCATCCCCTGCTCCTGCCCCCTGCTCCTCTTCTCTCCCAGCTTTTGTTCTCCCGCTACATTACCTTTGCTTACTGCCCTGTCTTTCTCACACCCGAAGAAGGCTCCACGGCCGAAACGTTGTGTTTTCTTTCTTCTCTTTTCAGCATGGAATAAACCTATTATTTGTTCCTATGCAGCCTACGCATGCTGACGCAGCTACCCGCCTGAACTGGTTGTATGCTTTTATAGTACTCTCCTCTACATATTCACACGCTTTGCCTACAGAGCTCTATCACACTAAAATACAGAGGCGGGAGGTCAAGCTGCCCACGTTTCATAAAAGGCTCTGTACCCTTGGTATAAACGTCAGCCTGCTGCGTCAGACCCTTCAAGATGCACAGCTTCTTCATTTTGTGCTCTTTTGTGCTCATGTTGTGGGTCTCCTCCCACATTTTATACATGAAAGAAAGAAAACATTCTCCCTCAGAAAAAAATGGCATTTGCATAAAAGCACCTCATTTGAATTTTGATTCCTCTGCAGCATCTCAGCAGCGTAGGGTTCCAAACTCTGGTAGACCGCAGAATAGAAGCAGGGTGCCGCGCACGGCGGAGACAAGCAGCTACTGCACGACTTACTTGTTCATCTCCTCGATGCTCTCTGCTGCAAAGTAGAACGTCATGATCTGCGGGTGGCTGGCCTTCATGGCGCTGCGCAGAGACAAGCACAGACACACAGAAAGACAACGTGTCAGACATGAACCACAATCCCACAGAAATGGCTTGTAAAAAACAGAGAATAACAGCGAACGATCTGAAATGGCTGAAAGTTCCCACAGGAACAGCTGGTGAACGGCACATAATTATTTCAGTTCCAAATGAGTGACTTATTTTGGATTCAACCCTAAACATTTAATTATATGTCCGCGTAATATCTGCACGCCTCATGTTGGAGGAAATTTCAGGAACAGGGCTAACGTCAAAAATGAAATCGGGCAGATCTCACTGGACATGGGGAAGTGTTGTTCCTGTGCTACTCGTTCGGAATTCATGAGGAATTTGCAGCCATTATGTGAAAATATCATGACCTTGTCTCTTCTAAAGGACACAAAAATCTTTACAAATGACAAAAAGGTCATGCGACCCATTTAGCTTATTTGGTTGCTGGTCGCCAAGGGATCCAAAGACCTTATCCAGCCATTTCTTGCAAGAGGCCATGGGATGTGATTTCATATAATTCTTGCACAGCCTATTCCAGACTCACACAATCCTCAAAAAACACCACCTTCAGAAACTATTAAACACTTAGACAATTATTAACCAGAGTTTGAGAGCTAAAATAGACATGAGTTCTAGCCTATATGACCTAACTTCTTTCTTCTTTCTATTCGCCATTAAAATTTCAAACCCATTCATGGAAGACTCTAAATGAAGTGTCCAGTTCAAGCCATGATTGCTCTTTGTGAGAAGGTACTTCACAATCTACATATTCATTTTACTCCTGCTCAGTTTCTTATTCTTCTGGGTTATTTCAGTTTAGATACATGTAAAACCTTTAGTTTGTTATTAATACAAATTAAATAGGAAACTAATGCAGCCATGCAACATGTATACTGATCACAAAGCAGAATAATAATCATAATTTTTATTTAATACGGATTGTGGCTGAAATCTTTACTAAACGCAATTTTGATTTACAAGAATCTACTGTTCTAAGATTCCAAATGTTGGGCAGCATTTTTAGTCCTCACTCATGAACGACTACAGCCATCTCTAATTCATTTAATATCTCAACAAATTACTTAAATAGTTCCCTACATCTCCAAATGTTTTGTTTTAGTCATATTCAGAACCTTTGGGAGGGGTCTACTAAACCAATTGCAAAGCTTCTACCTCAAAGTGTATTTTTTTAAAATGTGAACAATAAAATAAAGCAAAATTGAAGACCTTTAGTTACAATACAGCTTTTTATGTAAAAAACAGGAATTAACACCAAACTGCGTGACTCAGACACCTTAAGCTGTTCACATGCTCAGATGCTTCCTGTGACATGAGGAAGCGCTGCTGGCTCTTCAAAACTACCAGTTCACTGCGGCTTTAACAACTGCTGAAAGTAAGAAAATCGCTCTTTTGCACATTTCTGAAACACATCTCGCCTGCAAAAGACACTATATCCAATGATGTGCCTCTGTATGTTAGGAAGTGCAGATGCGCACAAGTTTCAGGCACAAACTAGATGACCTTCTTCATGCTTGCCCCTCACACGCTGTCCCCTGTGAAAGAACCCTTACATCAAAAACCACACATTTTCATACCATGAATTTCAGATAATACTTTCCTTTTCAATGATGACCATGATGCTAATCAAAAGGAATCACATTTCTAAAATCACTGGGACTTAGCTATAAATCCATGTATATAGTGGAAGTGTGACATTTTACTCTGTCTGCTGACTGTCTAGCAGTCAATAAGCAGGATGACGTTTTCTTGTCCAATCAGTTAATTTATTATCAGGGTCCATCTGAGACAAACCTTTCGCTTCAGAGAGCAAGGTATAAATTCTGCAGTCTTCAAGGAGTATACAGTAATGCAAACTGGCTTGAAGTAGGAATTTATATTAATAACTGCATTTCTTCAGCACGTTACTTAAAGTAAGAAAGTTTACAATCAAGAAGAGGCCATTCAGCCCAGCAAGCCCCTTTGATACTAGTTAAATGATGAACATCCAGTCTAGACATGTCTTTAAAGAAACCAGAATATCAGCATCAACTACATGGTTGGATAGTTTCTTCCATACTCCCACGACTCTTCGAGTAAAGAAGTGTCTCCTGTTCTCAGTTTTGAAATGCACTTCCTCAGTTACACACGACAGGATCCACTTCATTCACAAATGAAAAGCGTTGCACCAAACAAGATGTGCAGCAGCTATTATCTGCCACAGGACTCACTACACAGAGGATCAGGCAGATGTGAAAAATTGCTTCACCGGTTGAAATAAGGGGGAAATCTGGAAAGGCCAGATCGTACAAGCCTAGAGAAGAAAGTAGCCAGGACCTTGTAATTAACACCCCTGTTTTTTCCAAAAAGTGCCAAGCAATTCTCAACAACCATATAGTCAGAATCCTGATTATTTTTTAGAATCTGTCTGTAACCTGAGTTTACACTTGAGCTTTGGGTAGCTACTAGTAAAGTGATGAAGAAGTAATAGATATAACAAGATTGGACAGAGGCAAAGATTATCAGGACTTCAGTGGTCTCCTTTGGAAGAACAGTCATTAGTGAAACACAGACCTTTTATGTACAGTGTGGTGAAAAAGTACAGTGCCTTGCGAAAGTATTCGGCCCCCTTGAACTTTTCAACCTTTTGCCACATTTCAGGCTTCAAACATAAAGATATAAATTTTTTATTTTATGT